CATTTGCTGAGCTCTGGCTACAAACCAGCTCTTATCTAAGCATTTTACATGGAATATCTTACTTAACCTGCACCACAAACCCATGAGCCTTTGCTGCTACCATTTTCAAGGTTAAATGGGAGAGGTCCAGAGATGTAGTCCCTTGCCCAGGGTCCCAGAGCTGAGAGGGGCAGGGCCAGGATGCAAACTCAGGCAGGCTGGCTCTGAGCTAAATTGCAATATCCACCACCCTACATGGCCACACTGGACTCTTCAGCCTTGCGTTTGGGGGTCTATCAGGAACCAACTGTAACCTACTTTTTCCAAACTTTTTTCCTCTGGTTTCTCTCCATGCACAATGCATTCCCTCTCTCTTTATATAACACATAGGAACTTTCAAAGTTCTACCTACCAGAACTTGCTCAAGCTGTTTCTCCTTCTGGAATGTTCTTCTCCATCTCCCATATACTCCATCTATTCATTCTTTAGGCCAGCCTTGGTGCCACCTCTTCCATGCAGTCTTCCCTGATTTCCCCATCAGTGCCATCAGGGTAAGATTGACACCACCTCCTCACATCCTATCTGTTCATGTCCACCTCTTCTCACCCACTAGACTACTCTGAGCTCCACCACGCTAAGCTCAGGGAATGCAAAGGTAACTGAGACCTCTTCTCTACTATTGGGGGCTAAATTGTGTCTACATGAAAATCCATATATTGAAGTCCTGACCCCTAGCACCTCAGAATGTGACTGTATTTGGACACAGGGTCTTTACAGAGGTAATTAAGGTAAAATGAGGTAATTAAAGTGGGCCCTAATACAAAATGACTATCGTCTTATAAGAGGGGATATAGACACAGACCCACAGAGAGGACAACCATGTGAGGACGCAGGGAGAATACGGCCATCTGCAAGCCAACGAGGGAGGCCTCAGAAGGAACCAGCCCTGCCAACACCTTGATCTCAGATTTCCAGCCTCCGGGACTGCGACAAAGTACATTTCTGTTGTTTAAGCCGCCCGGTCAGCGGTGCTTTCTTGTGGCAGCCCCAGCACACGAACACACTTGCCCTTAAGGAACCTGACGTCCAGCAGGTGCCATAACTGAACTCGCACACAACTCAGGGCGAGGCTCTGGGTGTTATAACAGAAGAAACTGCCATGGACTGTTCTGGACATTTTAACTCAGAGAAGCAAGTTTCAGAAGCTTTTCTGATTTGCAGCTCTAGTTCTCTGGGTATGAAATATGCACAAATATCGAATTCTTCAAGACGGGGAGCAGAGAGTGTGGGTGATCTGCTCAGAATGATCTCCGCATACAACTCCCCTCAACATTTCCTACCGTGTGGACACAGTGCAGAGCAGACACGGAAAATGGGGAGGGGGAAGGGGAGGGCAAGATAGGGGAGGGGCGGAGAGAAGAGAGGAGGGGAGGGGAGAGGAGGGGAGGGGAGGGAGGTACTGACCTGCCGGGGGACAGTGACAGAGGTGAACAAACTGGGCCTGGCAGCAGGAGGCTTGCGTTCAAGCCAAAGGCTGCGTGAGAGTTGAAGTTCCAGTATCACGAGGTCAGGAGCCTAGGTGAGCTGTGCTTAAAATAAGCACAATAAGCACGTGACTTCCCAGAAACGGTAAGAATGGGATGGGGCCAACACATTCCCATCGGGATAACATGAAGCGGCAACCCCAGAAGCAGGGACCAGCACTCTGTAATATTAACCCACCTCCAAGCATCATCCCTGCCTCCAAGGGTGGCGCAGAAGCCGCCTGCGCACAGCCCCTCCTGGATCCAGAAAGGGGTAACGCTGGGGGGTTTCAATGAAACATTAACTTCACACGTAACAATTTGTTTCTAAACGTCAAACAGAGAGGCAGTGTTTGAACTTCCGAGCAAGTCCCTTGCCTATCTCCATGGGAGCGAGAAGAATCGCGCGTTGGAAGGAAACCCACATATGTTCCCAGAGCTGCAGCGACAAGCCCTGTTTCCCAAGCAGCTTGAATCCTGCGGCTCCTTTTTGTGGGATGCTGTCAAATGCCACTTAAGAAGTCCAGCCCCCTCGTCAAACGCTTTTTTTTTTTAATTTTGAAGAATACCTGACACGGTAAAGTAAACATTCTCTCTGCTCATGTTGACCACATCTGCAGAGGGCAGTGAGCAAGTCGGAGGAAATACATTTTTATAAAGGCTCCGTTCAGCGAATCAGCCTCAGGTTCCTTTCTTTCCGGTTGTAGCTTTCAAAGATGGGGTTTGCAGGCGGAGGGAACCAACTGCCAAACCCCAGCTAAAGTATCTGGCCCTGCGGCTGCCAGTTGAGGATAGAAGGATAAAGTGCATTTCTAAGATGCTTTGTGTGCGGAGAAGACAATGCTATGCATGCAACAAGTACGGAGAAAATAGCAATTAAAAAACATAAATAAGTGACAGTTTTACTTAGTTAGCTCTTGGTAACAGCGCTCCCTCCACTGCTTCCGGGTGTTCTCCAGGCAAGCCGAAACTCCCACGCCATGCCCTGCCCCCCAGCTGCAGGACGGCCGATTTCCCAGAGAGGCACCAGTCTCTCCGACTGTCCAGGCCGGAGAACAGGGTGTGGGGGAGGCGGCAGCGCCATGGTTTTGAAGCCGGATGCCATGCTGTCCCCTCTCCCCACCCCACGGATGCCACACTCAACCAGTCGTATGGGGTAGCCCTGGCTCTGCCTCCTGAGCGTCTGCCGGTGCCAGGCTATGCCAGCTTGCCACACCTCATCCCTGTCCCTCACTTCCCGCTGGCCAGAGCACATGCATCCCTCAAAGCTCCTCTCCAGTCCCCGGACTTCCTTCCCCCACTAAAGAGAAGCCCACATCAGCCCCCACTCCCGCCACCCATTCATGCCCCCCCACTCCAGTGTTCACGGCCAGCAGCCAGTATACAAGCCCACCCAGCCACAGAGCAGCCATCCGACCCAACACTGCCCTCAAGGACCAAAGCCAGGTGGGCTCCTCTGACAGCACCTTCCCCCACACCCCCTCCTCAGCTCTCCCAGGGAAGCCACCCATGCCCAAACTCTGAGCTCAGAATGGAGCTGGGCTGGGTGTCAGCCCATCCTGATGGCAGCCAGCCCCATCTCCTAGGGCTCCTCCGCCCTGGAATCTCCTCTCTTCAACAACCCCTCCCCATGAAGCTAAGTGACAAAAGGTGGGAGTACGCTGCTGAAGCAATGACCTCAGCAGATGAGGCGGGGGTCAGATATTTCCCTTCAGTGTGTTTATTTGGTCCTTTGAGCTCTTGGTTTCTGGGTTACCTTTCAGCCCGACTTCTAGCTTATGGTACCGGCGACACAGTTCGTCCACGAGTACTGGGGAATGCTAAAGGCTGAGCCCAGCCGATACCTGCTGTCCAGCCCTCTCTCAAGATGCAGATGGGGAGGGCAACCCCAGGGCTCTTCCAGGGAGGGACATGGCCAAATTCTGGAAGGCACCCCCAGGCAGCGCCCCAACCGCCCCTGCTGGCCCGCTTTGCCCAGGGCACCAGCTCTGCCCTCTGAGGGCTGTTAGTCGGACTGCAGATGCCAGCGATGACCCCAGACCAGAGACTCACACCTTGCCTGCACCCTGGTAGCCACCAGCTAGTTGGGGAGGGGGCCAGCAGGACATGGGGCTCCTGATTCCAAGTCCACTCAGTGCTGTCCCATACCCCAACACATTCCCTGCCCCCTCCTTCTCCACACAGACTGCAGCCCCTGGAGTAGCCCAGGCCACATCAAAGAGAATGGTAAAAGTGACCAGCCCAGGTGACCCCTTTTCCTAGCCTCAGACGCCGGTGATCCCCACCCACCATGCCACTACCAACACATTCAGGGACCCGGGCCCTGTGCTGCCTCTGCAGAACTTTGGCACCCTGGAGCAAGGAGAGTAGGTGGGCATCAGCCACCAGGGGACACCCTAGTGGACAGCCATGCTGGGGTGAAGGGAGGTTCCCATCTCCCCTCCCCACACAAACGTGCCCTCCCCTGGGGCCTCACAGCAGCCACCTCACCACCTCAACCCTTCTCCCAAACCTGCAAAGCTAGAGAGGACACACCTGGGGCTGCCCCAAGGTGACCCCAGAGTGACCACTGGCCCTTTCCCCGGGGAAAAGCGAGGCTAAAGTAGCCCCCAGAGGAAAGATAGGAAGGGATCCCTGCGCCCTCTGAGTGCACCACCAAAGGATGGGTAGGATCCCCCCCCAGGATGGGAAGCACAGGCTGGTGGGTGGAGGGGCAGGAGGTCCCTCACAGAGGTGGCTGTGCGGGAGGGGGTGGCAAACTTCCAGCTGGAGTGAAGCCCAGGTAGCAAGAAGGTGGGGGGAGGACAGGGAGTTTGCTGCCCGGCACAGCTCCGAGTCCCAGAGCTCCATGTCCAGAGCGCAGCAGGGATGAACCCGGGGACACGCGGGTCCGGGCACATCCCGGCACGTCCGGCGGCAGGATCTCCAGGCAGCCGCGGGTCACACTGAGGGAATCCGGATAGAAGGGTAACCCTCGAATCGAGAGTCCCAGAATAGGACACTGAGCAGACCCGGGAAGTCCCTGAGCCTGCGGAGGCGCCACCCGCGGGGTCCCGGGTAGAACAGGGTGGGGGGATGCTGGAGCCAGAAGTCCCAGAACGCGACGCTGAGCGGAGCCGACGGAGTGTTGGGGCCATCGAGGCAACATGAGCCGGGGTTATCCCCACGACATGGAGGTGGCCGGGCAAGACTCTGGGGACCTCCCCATTAACCCTGGATCTAGAGGCCAGTGGGGTAGCCCCGGAAGTGGCCCAAGATTCCGAAATCGGTGGGAACGTTCCCTGAGGTGAGACAGTCTTACATATCTGAGGACCTCTCCCCCAGTATCCAGTGACTGGCGGCCAATAGGGGCACGGCCGACATGGCCCGCGTCCCCAAGTCGCCAAAACGCCCTGGATGACCGCGGGGTGGTCCGAAAGTGGGGGTCCGTGGCAGCCCCCCGGGATGTCTCGAGGTGTCCCGGGCAGGGGCCGCGGGGAGGACACGGAGGTCACTTACGCTGCTGTTCTCGCCCGTCCAGTGCACCATCGCCTGGTTGTGCGTTGCGTCCCCCTTGAGCACGAACGACGTGCTGATGAGCGAGACCTGCGCCCGCGAAGCCGCTCCGGCCACCGGCGCCGCCCGCGCCCAGCGCCCCTTGCCCGCGGCCGGGGCGCTGTCCTCGCCGGGACCCGAAGCGGGACCGGGACCCGGACCCTGGGCGCTGGGTTCCACGCCGCGCGCCTGCCGGTCCTCGCCGGCGCCGGGCTCCGAGCGCTCTGCGGGCGGGCTGCGAGGCAGCCGTGTCAGCCGGGCGCGGGGACCCAGGCGCCCGAGCTCGGGGGTGCGCCCCGCCGCCCCGCAGGCGGCCAGCAGCAGCAGCAGCAGCAGCAGGAGCGGCCGCCAGCGCGACGAGCGCGGCGGCGGCGGCGGGGCCCCGGGGCTCGGGGCTCGGGCGGCGGGGCCGGGGCCCTTCGGGGCGCGCGGGGGCCCCCGGTGCGCCATGGTCGCCGAGGGGCGGCGGCGGGCGGCGCGGGTGAGGGAGACCGCGGCCGGGAAAGCGGGAGGGCGCCGGGGAGCGCGAGCTAGAGCGCAGAGAAAGGAGCCGGCGAGGGGAGGGAGCCGGCGGGAGGAGGGGACTCGGGCTCCGCCGCCGCCGCTCAGCCGAGGGCGCACCGCCACCTGCCGGCCGCCCGCGCGCCCCGAAGCGGGCCTGGAGCGGGCCCCACCTCCAGGGGCACCCGTCCCTTTCCTCTCCTGTTCCTCCCTCCTCCTCTTCTCCCCTCCGCCCTCCCTCCCTCCTTCCCTCCAGTCCCTCCAGTCCCTCCGTCTTCCGTCCCCTTTCTTCCTGTGTTTACTGAGCACCTGCTCGGGGCCAGCCTCCATTCCAGGCGTGGGCACAACAGCCAGGTCCGTCCGGGAGCTGACAGTCTGTAAGGGAGACGGATCACACCCAAGTGGACAGATTTATAGGCGAAGTAACTCCAAGAGCCAGGACAGATTATAAGGGCTCCTCCTCTAGGGGCCTCCGAAGATATGGCTGCCGGGAGGGACTGAGGGCTCTGAGACCTTCCAGGACTTGGGAGGGCACGTGCAAAGGCCCCACGGTGGAACCTCCTCCAATGGCAACCAAGACTTCAGGACATGGAGACAGTGACTTCATCTCCCAACCAGGGGCCACCAATGGGCAGCCCCTAAACAGGACAGCTGCCTAGGTTAGGGGAGCGTCCAGAGGAGGCAAGGGCGAAGCCCCATGGGGCCTGGAAGACCACAGTGAAGAGTGTGGAAACTGAGGCTCAGAGCACAGAAAGCCCCACCCAAGGTCCCATGACTACTTTAGTTCAATATTGCTTAAAATGACTTCCTTGTGGACCAGGTCAGCCTCAGGGAACAGACAGTAGGAGATTCCTCAAGGCAAGGCCAGGGTTAGAGTCACTGTCCAGCTCTCTGCCACGCCAGGGCCACCCTGCCCTCCACCTTCCCACAAAGGCCCCTGTATCAGATAGAAACCTTCAGGTTCAGGGTCCCTGCCACAGCCCGCCTCGCAGCTGGGTCTCTTTGCTCCAGAGAGAGCTCCTAGCAGAGCAGCAAAGCCTGGAACATGCGGGAAAGATGGAGACTTGAGGGTTCCTTCTGGCTCCTAAAGAGTGGGAGCACCCGGTGCCCTCACCGGGAAATCACATCCAAGAACGCAGGCAGTGACTGCCAGGGCTCACCTGTGTCAGTGCTGGGGTGGGGGAGGGGGAGGTTTGTCCAGATGTCTAAGGCCCCCCCTTGGAATGTGCCCTCACCCCAGGATGTAAATTCCAAACCTGTCAGGTTCAGCTCCAGGGTGGGAAGAGGGAAGGGGGAGTGTGCAGCTGTGGGAACATCTGGTCTAGCACAGGAAGCAGAGAGGAACAGAGCGAGCGGGTCAGTGTGGGGTTGGAGGGAGGCGAGGCCAGGCAAAGTGGGGGGCCTGAGAGAGGCTGCAGAGAAGAGGCGGTCCCGTCCCAGCTTGGACAAGGTCCCCGGGCCTTTCCCAAACTCCCGGAGCCGCCATGTCGCCCACTGTGAAATGAAGGGCGCTACACAGTCTCTAGGTCTCTTCCAGTGTGTGCTGCTTTTGTTTTAAGTAAAAGAAAAAAGAAGGTCTCTGAGTACTAACCTCAAGAAACTTGGCTGTGACATTTATTGAGCACCGACTGTGCTAGGCACATTCCCTGGGCGCTTTGAAAGAAGATGGGCCCTCTGCTCTTGGTGGGGGCTGCTTTGCAGGTTATCAGATTTCATTCTCAGGGCCAGGCTGTGGAGGAGGTATAATTGTCCCCATTTTACAGATGAGGAATCAGACTAGAGAAGTTAAGTGACTTAGGGCTGGGCGGTGGCTCACGCCTGTAATCCCAACACTCTGGGAGGCTGAGGCAGGAGGATCACTTGAGGTCAGGAGTTTGAGACCAACCTGAGCAAGGGCGAGACCCCGTCTCTACAAAAATAGCTGGGCGTCGTGGTGTGCACCTGTAGTCCCAGCTACTCGGGAGGCTGAGGCAGGAGGATCGCTTGAGCCCAGGAGTTTGAGGTTGCTGTGAGCTAGGCTGACTCCATGGCACTCTAGCCCAGGCAGCAGAGCGAGACTCTGTCGAATAAAAAAAATAAAAATAAAAAAATAAAAATAAAATAAATTAAAAAAAAAAAAAGAGGGAGGTTCAGTGACTGCCCAAGTTCACCTGGCCAGTACCGCCAGAGGCCAGATTCCACCCAGGTTTTCTGACCCCGAGGGGATGCTCTTTGCACCACACACGTTGCCGCCGTCTGAGTATGGACTCTCCCAGCCCCTCTGCATCCCTGGGGCTCAGATTTGAGCTGCCTGGCCAGGCAGGGAGGTGAAATGATCTTGCCACCACCACCCTCCCAGCTGATATCACTGACTTGGTGGGTCACATTAAGTCCCTAAAAAATTGGGGAGAGAGCCAAGAGCTACAATGCAGGTAGTGTGACCCCTCACCAGTGGTCTTTCCAGAACAATCCCTGCCTTTGCCCTAATGAGGCTTCATGGCATTGGGAAAAGCAGGGCTGATTTGATTCTTCTGTGAATCCAGAGCTCAGAGACACTGTGACCCCCACACCCCTGCAATCACTCAGGTCACAAATACTGCAGGACATGTCGACACAGTGATGACAGAGACAGACAAGGTCCCAAGCTCACCAGGAGCCTCTCTCCTGGTGGGACAGACAAGTGCCGAGTAGCAGGTGCCCAGAAGAGAATGAAGCACTCACCTGATGAAGAGGGACCCCCAGCCCACTTGCCCTGGTAACGCCGAGCTGGGAACAGGGAAGAGCATCCAGGCAGAGAGAAGAGCCCTGAGCAGCAACGGGGCTTGGAAGGGCTGGCACGCAGTCAGGGAGGAGCAGGTGGCTGGGGGCTTGATTTGTATTCACAGTCTGATGGGAAGTCACTGGGGTGTTTTAAGCAAAAGAGCGCGATCATTGGCATTTTTACAGCCGCAATTCTGGCCGCTGTGAGGATAGACACAGGAAGCCACTTAGGAGGCTACTTCTCCCAAGGTCCAGAGAGAGGCCACAGGCCTGGGAGCTGGCGGGGAGCAGAGAGGGGCAGAAGCCTACAGGCACTGGCCAGCCATGCCCAGGTGCCTCCCCCAGCCCTCGGCTCACAGTCCTTAGTGACCCACATCAGGGATTTGAGGACTCGGCTGCAGGAGAAAAACGTGGGAAAGTATGGGCAGTGAAGGAGAGCTGGCTGGCCCTCCAGGTGTCCCGTCCAACGTGCCCTGAGGAGGGAGCAGGGGATGGGCCAGAGACAGTGTCAGTGGGGCCCATTGAGGGGCACAGCAGGCGGCAGGGCATGACGGCTGACCTCACAGAGGTGCTGTTTATGAGGCCCCTGCAGACGCTGCCACGCAGGGCCACGTGCGGGTGCTCAGGGCAGCACAGGGAGCGTCAGGTAAACACTGAGCAGTCTCCAGGGGTAAAGCCTAATGAGTATTCACAATGCTGGGACCGTAAGACAGTGGGGGCTCCATGCTGGGTACAAGCTCCAGACTGAGTCACACCTGGTTGCAGCTCCTGGGGGCCACACAGCCTGGTGGGGAGGCACGCAGGTGAGCAGACACTGACATAGGAGATAGGTGCTCCAACAGCAGTGCCTGGGAGCCTGAGAGAGGGAGAGCTGCTGTCTGGGGCTGAGGGAGGAAGGCTGCTCAGAGGACACCCTTCAGCTAATCCCACTAGGTAACGGTGACAGTAATAGTTCCAGGGAACAGTAACAGTAATGATCACAATTACTACTGAGCACCTACTATGGCCCAGGCATTGTTCTAGATGGAAAAACCCACTGGACCTCACAACATTTGTATAAAGTAGGTACCCTTTTCCCCAATTTAAAGATGAAGAAAATGAAGGCACAAAGGGGTTCAGTAACTCACCCCAGGGAATCAAATTCCCCTCCCCCACGTGCCAGCTGGGGGACACTTCCCCTTCATCGCTCTACTTCCCAAACTGCCTCCCTGTAAAATGGGACCAGTACTGCCCCCGCCCCGGGGCTCTCAAAGTGCCATCCTGGGACCAGCAGCCTCCACATTAATGGGAACTGGGTAGAAATGCTGGTTCCTGGGTTCTACCCAGACCTGCTGGACCAGAAACTCTGGGGAGGGGTCTGGGGATCTGTGTCCGAGCACAGCCTCCAGTGGTTCCCATGCACCCTACGTTGAGAGGTGCTGCGTCAACCAGTGGTTCTGGGTCCCGGCTGCCCGCTAGAATGGCGTGGAGCTCTAGAGAAACCCTGCTGCCCACTCGCACTGCAGCCTCGGCTCGGTGGGGACGCAGCTCTTCAGCTGCCTTGGACTCCCCACGGGGTGCGGACGTGCAGCCAGCTGCACACTCCCCAGCACAGTCTTAGGACACAGGAGAGGACAGATGCAGAACATCCGGCACACAGTAGGACTCCCATAAGTGGTGCCTTTCGTGAGAGGTAAGTGGGGCCCAGCTAACCCCCCGTCCAAGCCTTGTGGCTTCGAGACCCACGCTTGCTCCCGTTCCACGACAGCGATCCCAAGCCAACAAGGAGAAGAGACGCTTTGTCTGTCCAACGTCCGGTCATGCCACTTGCTCATTAAAAGTCCCAGGCTTTCCTAGATTATTGAAGGTCTCTCGTGATAACATTTTAATTTATCTTTATAACTGTGACAAAGCTCAAATTGTGCAGCTCCCCGAGCAGGGCCTGCTCAGGTATGTAAAGGATCCATGGGGATTCTTGCCTCCAGAAATGCTGTGGGCCCTGCAGGAGGGGGCGCTGAGGGGACAGGCCGACGGTCTGCTGGACTCCACGGAGGGGGACCTCCCAGGCAGCTCCCCGCTACCTCAGCTCTGCCTGCAGCAGAATTAAGGAGTTGCCCACCTGCTCTCAGGGCAGGGGACAGCGGGACGACAGAGAAGCCTCCTAATGACTTTCAGCAACAACAGGGGACGGAGGGGTGGCTTTGAGCAGAAGGATCAGGCACGACATCTTG